GTTAGAGATCTTGAATGACATGGCTTAAAATCATTTGCAATGGTGCAGGTGCATTCACTCTTTGTGTTTTCCTAAATTTTAATCTTCTGACTTCTTCACGTCCTCTTATTTTTTTCTTTCCAAATTTATTTCACTGGATTATACTCCTTGAATAAGATCAAACCCTAATGCTTCCAACTACTGCTTATACTCTTACTACTTCTACAACTATGGGATTTGAATCGACAACTACATCTTTGTGTTAATGTGGTATGGCAACTCGAACTGAGGTACGTACGTACGAAGTTCTACGTTGTTGCTGACTGGCTGGCTGACTGACTGACTGACTAATTGAGTTTGGAAAGTGAATAGAGAATTTCGAATAAATATGCAGTCAAATTATTCAGTGAGTGTAGGTATAAACTTTGAGATGTATTAATTGAATTAAAGTATGTAGATCTGTTTGCTAAGGATACTGATGTAATACATTGTTTAAAAAGGGCATAATTAGTAAAGATAAATGTGTTTAGGCCTTGAGGATTCCAAGTGCTGGCTTGTATTGTGATACAGTTGGATGCTTTCCTCAGTGTGTGTCCTATCCACTTCCAGTGCTTCTTCCTGATTTATTCCTCCTCTGGGACTTGGAAGAAGCCGTCATCCAGAAGATTCAAGTGTTTATTAACAATTGTCTACGCAAAATATTTCGGATACGTTGGCCAGACACTATCAGAAAAACCCAACTGTAGGAGAGAACAAACCATATTCCAGCGATGGAAGAAATCAGGAAGAAGCACTGGAAGTGGATAACGCACACATTGAGGAAATTACCCAACTGTGTCACAAGTCATTCCCCCACATGGAATCCTCAAGGGCAAATGAGAAGAGGAAGACCAAAGAGCACATTACACAGAGAAATGGAGACAGACATGAGAAGAATGAACAACAATTGTATAGAACTGGAATGAAAGGCCCAGGACATAGTGGGATGGAGAATGCTGGTCGTCAGCCTATATTCAACTGTGAGTAACAGGCGTGAGTGAGTATGTTTAGTAAGTTTTACAACAAGAAAGATGCAAATAGTAGTCAAACGATGAGAAATGAAATTATCAATCAGTTACATTCATTCACTTGTCTTCATGAAATTTTATTACTTTTAAAAAGGTAATAATAAATGAGATAATGGAAAAACCGCAATTTATAGAGTAGGCAAACTCTTTGTCTGTCTGTAAGAGAATGATTACCTTGCATAGATATATGTTTAATATCATTTATTGGTGTGAATTGAAGGTTGAAGACATAATCAATACTCAACTGTTATTAACTAACAAACATCATTCATGTTTGGTTGGATCAATAAATAAACATAGCATAAGATTCAGTTAGTAGGTCCGTCAGTAAAGCTACACAGTTTTATAAACTGATCTGACTGGGACATCTATCAAGTACTATGCAGGTAACATTTGAAGACCTAAGTTTACAGGGATGGTTATCAATAGCAGTATTATTATTTTATACATCTTATTTGCTCATACTCATTCATTGTTTTCAAACTATATTCTATGTGCTTAGTAGTTCACTATTTTCATTACTAAAACATTCGACTTCATCCATTTTCATCTTGTTATTTCAGGTTTTCAATTTCAGATTGATGAAACTGCAATATTCTACACCCTGATCATGTAGTGTATTCTTTCTGAGTAAATTAAATGATTGATGGCGTCACAGATGACGAGAGATACTGACAATATCACAATAAATGGAGCATGAATAAAACCTTATCAGCTAATAAATGCATAACATTCTTTTAACTACTATTTATTATTAAGTAGTATGATTATTCTCAAGGCATTAACTGAAAGACTGAGTTGTTATAGATCGTTAGTAATATAGCTGTTTTAATGCCTTATAATCGCTATCATAGTTATATGAAATATGTAAAGCATAGGGCTGATTTAACGAATATCAAGGCTTAGTTTATAACTCTAGAATGTCAACAAGCTTTAAAACTGAAGACTTCCAAGTTTTATGGTCAATTTATAAAATTTTTTCAGAACTTCAACATACATCGGACCATATTTCAATCACAAGCTCACAAGGATTTCCATCACAACTACTGAGGTTTGAGTAATTTATTGTTTCTGACTGACTTTTCTAACCTCTCAACATTGTGAGTAGTTCACTTTACAATTATACATTGTTTTGTAATACTAATTGGATTCCATTTCTTCGTTCCCCTCAAACGTTTATTTTTATTATCAGAATGGGTTTTGTGGAGATTTTTAGAAATTTCACTGATTGAAATCATGAGTCAATTGAAGCTAGATCGCCATGGAAAATCTGAAAGCACTGGATGCGCACTGCTGAGGAGTCCCATACTAGGAAGAAACGGCCGTCCAGTGCTTCCAGGTTTTCCATGGTGGTCTAGCTTCAATTAACTCATGATTTCATCCAGTGAAATTTATTTTTATGTTGAGATATTCTCAAGAGCTTTCGGTTCAACAAATAGCTCATTGTCACATATTCGTACCTTCAAGTATCACTAGACTATCTTTGCATAGTTACAGTTTATTACTGGATTCCCAAAATATTATTAATATGACGAGAATTCTGATTATGATGCTTCCAGTCCACAGATACTTAATAGAGTACGAAAACTGCACTGTAAGTTTGATTTATAAAGAAAAACATTAAAGATGAAACTTGAACTAAATAATCTGCATACAAAGGACAAAATCATTTTGTCTCTTTACTAATGTTGGTTGAATTTTTTCCATCAAGTTTCATTGTGAGGATCAGTTTAAGTGACTTAAAGTTCAATTACGACGCTTTTTTTGTTATGTAGTTTCAGTAATCCCTTATTGACAATTGGTCACTATTGGGGTTCTACGTGAGATACGTTTCTCAGTGGCAACGTTTTTGATAGTAACAACTAATAATAGGAGTCTGAATGTTACAATGAGCATCATTACTGTCGGAAACACCCTGCTGACGAGTGATGTTTACGTTTTTGAATATAAGATTGATTTATATGATAAATTATTATCATTAGGATTCTGGATGTTGAGAAAAGGTACATGGAGATAAACGGTAAATTTATAAGTGTGATAATTAGATTCAGAAATTCAGGGTAACATATTCTGGAATATCATAAACACATCAACACATAATGATTTTCATTTTTGTCTTACCTATGTGAATATTCCCATTAGTGGTTGAGACTGCAGTTGATTACTGTCTTATTGACATATCTGCATCCTGTGAGGATCAATTCGATATCGCCTGAAGTCACAAGCGTTATAAGCAGAGATAGATGGCGGCTAACAGTGGAACCCAAAACGCACGTTTTATCCCATTTATGTAGCTGCATCCCAGAGTTAATATTCACTCAAGAACTCAGATTAACTAACTTTTGTTTGAAACGCCATCGCGTTATCCACTATCTATGCTCAATGGTTAAGTGGATTACGTGATGGCATTTCAAGTAAAGGTTACTTAGTTGGAGTCCTTGAGTGAACATTAACTCTGGGATGCAGCTACATCCAGCAGACCAGTTATAAATGAGACGAAACGCACAGCCTGGATTCCACTGCTAGCCATCATCCATCTCTGCTTATAACATGGAATTTTTAAACATAGTTTGCACGTTTTTATAATCCAAGAAGCAGGTTTCAATGTTAACCTTAATCTTCCTATCAATGACGACCAACAATTTGGTCTTTTTGTTCAGAGGTTCTAGTTGCTTATTCAAAACTTGATTGTGGTAAGTTATCGAGTTTGGATTCTTATGTACCACATACCTATGACATGTAATCTTATTTAATTCATAACATGATAACCAAGTTTGATCTTTCTTTTGACAGCTTAGTGTCTAATTCGGTGCTTTCAAATGAAAACAGAACATTATCATTCTTTTACTGAATACAATTTTTCATCATGGTAATTCGTTTTTTAACTAGCTAATAGTGAAATAGATGAATTTTTATATCTATTCCCTAAATACTTATCTGTTTAAACAAGGTAACCTTCATTTTTAAGTAGATTTCTTGAAAGATATATGATCGTATAGTTAGTTAACTTCTATTTAAGTATACACTGGAAACGTAATAACAAAATAACTACTCGAAATGATAACTGTGATAATGAGTAAATGATCTTATGTCTGGACTTCCTACTCATGAGCATACCGTATATACTTGTTGTGATGACAGAATATTAGTGTTATAAACTATATCAATTTGGAAAATTTGACTTTTAAAGAGAATGTTGACAGTTCTTATTAGGCTATTCACCTGAATATATCTCTATCAAATTAAATTTCAGTGTTCAAAATCATTAGAAGTTATCCAAATCTCTTTACGTTTTTTCTTTAAAAAATGTTACTGGTTAATGTAAATACATTAATCTACTCGTGGTGGGGGTGTTGTTTACGGACTTGAGAGGATGAAATGCGAATATCCGGCTCTTTAGGCACTCAAATGCCCTGGTACAACCAAAACTGGGGAGAGTCAGCTCTTCCTCATCAAATGCTCTCACATGGCCACATGCATGCAACCACTATCAGGGAAGTTATACTCACTGCTTTCTCGTGACAAGGATGTTGTTTACGGAAGTGAAAGACCGAAAAGCGGATGTTCGACGCTTTAACCAGGATGGTGGACACAAATGGTCCACTTAGAGCAGTTAAAAAACCATGATTCCAAACCAATGGTGCACATGGGCTCCAGTATCCTGAAGTAACTAATGGCGTATGAGCCAATTATCGGTCACCAGCTACCATGGAACTGCATCTCCTTGCGTTGCTCCACTGCCTTATGGATTAGATCTTTAGGCCGAAGGCTCAGAGTGTGGCCTCCTAAGAAAACAACCCGCTTCCTTTTGGGCACTCAGGCAGTATCACAGCCCACACACAAATCAAATGAGATTTGTGTGGCGCAAATGTGTTCGATGTCCCTCTCTACCGATATTTATATGTTCATATAAACAATAATAAATAATAATCTTTTTTTTAAAAAAGAACTTACTAATTAATGTAAATACATTACAATCTAAATGATGAATTTGCCATTCGAAATTTTGTAATTTCTGTTCCCATTTCGATGTAGATTTTAAAATGGATACGTTTTTATGTTTTATTATATAATTAATAATTCTGTATAAACATAATAATTGAAGTAATGGCCAGGTAAAATAACTTAATAAAGAGGCTAAACTTAAACTTCCAATAAATTGATATAAAATTGTATGAAGAATTTGAATGATAAGATTGATTGTTTTCAATTTGTATGTAGATTCACTTGAACGATACCTTTAAAAGTAAAGAATAAAAATTATTTACAATCAGAATTCAAGAACAATCATCTTTGTATTCACTTGGTGTTGTTTACTTATATCTTCCGATGGTTAATTAGGACTACGATTGATCAGTTTCTTATTGGCATATGTACATCCCGCCTGGAGTACCTCCGAGGGCTTCTGCCGGTCTCAAGCCCGGATAAAGTCGGAGGGTTGGGCATGGGGTTAGCGACCCCATCCCGTAGAAAACTAAATCGCTAAAAAATGCTCACTAGAAAACGCTTACCATCCCGTGCGAACTGTCTCGATATTGCCTGAAGGTACATCCAGCTGACGAGCATGAAATAGGAGGAAAAGCACGTCCTGGATTCCACTGCTAGCCACTATCCATCCTTGCTTATAAAATCGTCTTTGGTTTACACATTCTACTTTATTATTAATATTATTATTTTTATTATTATTATTATTATTATTATTATTATTATTATTATTGAATATTATATTTTTAATACAATATAGAATTCTCAGCGTAAAGTATTTCAACAAGTTTCCGTTTCTTTCTTCTTTCTCGTTCCTGGCGATAAATATTGAATGATAGCCAATTAGATGTTAGCAGTTCAGTAAATGAACATCTGAATAATCTGCATTCTTTTCGTTGTACATTGCCAGCAACCATATTGTCTCTTATTGAGTTTTCTGTAACTTTGACAACGAAAGGTTGTACACTTTTCAGAAACGCAGCAGAATAGGTTATGCGATTAATAAACATAATGATATATTAAAACAAACAACAATAGATAACTTGTTGAAATATCTAGATGGCAGCAACAGGTAGCCCAGATGCTCAAGCTGGCCGCCCTTCAAAATTATATTTGTATACTATTGAGAAAATACTAGATATTATTATTTTAACCAAAGGTCAAAGACGATATTTTTCAGATGAATGCATCTATATAGTTGTAATTCAGTGAAATGGAACCCACATTCAAAATCCGTCGATTTCATTTTCATAGTGTTATGTGCTTGGTTGCCATTCAAATAGTTATTATTTGTTATAAAAATGTATACTACTTATAAGTAGTAAAACTCATTGAATTAGTGAATTACTACAGTCATCATCAGAAAAGTACAAGTATTTATGATCAACTGTCGATGAAAAATAGTCAGTACCCGCTAGACGGATGCTATCAGCAACAATATCATCGCTAATTATATTATATCATATTATGAGACAACATTAAGATATCATACAAAAGGTAATTATTGAATTAAAAGTTTTATATCTGCCTTAGATTTAAGTAAATCGACTTTGATGTTTATCATAGATTTATTTAACTTTTATTCCTGCAAGCAGGATCGTAGATGTGAACTGTTGGGGAGTCCTGTAATAGAAGGAAACGGCCGCCCAACGCTTCCAGGTTTTCATGATCTTGATCGAGAACTTAATAATCTCCACAATCCTATATTGAAAATTTCTATGGTTAACCGTACGATTAACTTTGCAAGATTCAATATCCACTATAAATTCTAACACATTAATTACAATACCACTCTAATCCCCATTTTTTCATATTCACTGAATGTTATTTATTTACCGTCAAGAGATTCTAGTATCGGCTGATTTACTGTATACATTCATGTGTATGTTTATGCAAATAAATATTACAGATTGAAATCATGAGTCAACTGAAGGTAGACCATCATGGGAAACCTAGAAGCACTGGATAGCCGTTCCGTCTTAGTATGGGACTCCTCAGCAGTGCGCATCCACGATCCCGCACCCCGCGAGAACCGAACCCAGGACCTATCAGTCTCGCACCAAGCCCTTAACCGACTGGACCACTGAGCCGGCATCCAACGTTGTTAATATCTAACTTCAACCAATCCGCGAAGTTGTGCCACCGTATACCATTGTCTTCAGTGAGCTGATATCTCACAACAGACCTGGTTGAACTCCACTGGTAACGGCTTCTCACTAGAACTCCAGGAGTATCTCTTGAAGTCAGCCAATCTGTGGAATTTCTAAAATCTCCACAAACCCCTTCTGTAAATAAATATTATACCAATGAGTTACATAACTAACTGAATAGAAAAATATTTTTCTCATCATTTCAAAAGTTTTATCCTTTTGAAATACTTAACTTACTAGACAGTATAATTTTATGTTTTAACATCATGAATTGACCTTAGTTAGACAATCATTGAAAACTAAGGATCACTGTCATATATTAGCATTAGACTCATTAACAATGAAGATCCAAAGACAATTCAGAATTCTGACCAGTTATCTTCAAGTATCACGGTAAACACTAGACATTTCAATCATTGAATTATCATCTAAAAGTTTACAATTCTAGTGACTATTAGCCATTGTCACTGATGATATTCGTTTCACAGTCGATATGGTTGAACTTATTAGATCGCTGATAAATTATTTGAAAGTTCTCTTGATCCATATGAATTTCTTTATAAGGCGAGACTATAATGTTTGAACGAACCAATCCCGTGTAAGATAACAGGTCTCGGAATTTGGCACGAAATTCATTCATTCATTTGGATAATCTTGGCATTATAGCTGATGTTATTTCGTAATGAAAACCCTAAATCTAATTCCTAACCCAAACTATCAACTGTAAATCATAATCCTAATTCCTCACACTGCTTTATAACCCTCATTTTGTCTCAGTTACTAGGTGTACACTCTCTAAGTTACTTTAGCGTTGCTAAGACTAAGTGAATACTTACATCAGTTCGTATTTACAGTGAAGTTATAAAATGATAATTTCAAGTGTTTGTGCAGTTCTCATTCCCAAAATTGAAGAAATTATGAGGCTTTTACAAACGGGTTATTTAAAGAAACGTTGTCATACTTTTATTAATTTAATTACCAGTTGCTAATGATTTACTGGGTTATATCTTTTGTTCCTATCAATTACCATGTGAAGAAACTGACCTTGTTCTTGTACTAAACCAATGACATATTAAACAGCACTAGTAGCTATGAATCAACTCTGAATCCTTATTGATTCTTCTCGCTTAACCCTGGCTGTTGAGTACAGAACTCAATCTCAGCCTCCACTTTATGAATTGTATAATTCAGACATACGTTGTTTATTAACAAGCAAATCAGATCACATTACACCATAAAATAAGAAATGATAATTATCCATGATCAAGCCAACAAGTGACTGTGAATATGAGATGCAGTAACTAATAAATTGGGTATAAATTAAGAATAGATAGATCAAATGAAACCTTATGGTAAAGGGAATATGGATATACACATATAATCTAGTTACATAATAATTGTCCAATTAGAATATATGTCATGATAGTCGACAAACAATTTCTCTAGCAGTTATCATTCATTTGCTCTTTGTTAGGATATGACAAAACTGTGTAATGATTGATGATTGAAATAGAAAAACCTAGTCTGAGATAGAACCAAACTATCATCATTGAAAGTTAGTTATTACCCTTATTTCTCATATTATTAGTAAGTCAAAGTCATCTGCTTGAACTGCAATTCATACACACCCGATTAAATGTAACAGAAAAACTTGTTATATACATATAAAAAGAAAAGGAGTAAGTTGCTGACTGTATAGTTTTTATATTTAGCCTTTATTTTGTGAGTTGACCATCAATGTATCAAGCTAATCAACTCAATTATTTATGTGAATCTACTTAAGCTAACATGCTCCCAAATGCCCTGGTAAGGCCGAGAGTGGAGGGAGTCCGCTCTCCCTCTCGAAATGCTCTCACATGGCCACGCGTATATTGCCTCTGACAGGGAAGTCCTAATCACTGCCTCCTCGCAACACGGGTGTTGTTTACGAAATTAAGAGAACGAAAAACGAATGTCTGGAGCTTTAACCGGGTTGGTCGACACAAATGGTCCACCTAGAGGAGTTAAAAAACCATGATTCCAAACCAATGGTGCACATGGGCTCCAGTATCCTGAAGGGACAAATGGCGTGTGAACCAATCGTTGGTCACCGACTACCATGGAACTGCATCTCCTTGCGTTGCTCCACTGCCTTGTGGATCAGACCTTTAGGTCGAAGGCTCCGGGTGTGGTCCCCTAAGAAAACCACCTGCTTCGGTTTGGGCACCTGGGCACTATCACAGCCCCCACACATATCAAATGATATTTGTGTGGTGCATATGTATTTGATGCCTCCTTGTACCAATATCTATATGTTAAAATAAATAAATAAATAATAATAAGCTAACATATTTCATTTTATATTATCATACATGAACAGTTCCAATCTTTTTTTCTGGTGGCAAACACAGGGTTAAGCCTGTTGCTTAGAGGAACTTACTTAACGAAAGTTTTATGTAAATGTATTACTACCTATAAGTAATTACGTTGGAAACTTTATTAGTAGAAACTAAGGATTCAACTAGCTTACATTCAATAAACCTTAATGATTTAGAATCTTCTTGATAAAGAGCCATATTGAATCAAAACCTAAGGATGAAACACGGTATAATATACAGTGTAAACATGTTAACTTTGTATTTAACCAATGATTTCTATTGTTCAATCATACAATAAGAATGAAATAAACTTGAAAGAAAAAACTGTTTATAAAACCAGTCACTCTTTTGTTTCTAATCTCTTTCTATAAACCAATTGTTTAAATCAATCTCAAAAGGATTGATTAACAATAATAACACTAAACAGAAAGAAAATGAGTCAGTTGTTGATCGAGTTTTGTTCTTCAGCTCATAGAACAAAACTCTATGAAAATCATCAACCTGAGCTACAAATCTTCTCCACTATCTCAAAACGACTCAATAACTGAATGGATAACACGTTGGTGTTTGAAGTGAACAGTACTTGATTTGAGTTTTAGAGTAAACATAAACTCTGAGATATAGGTACAATTAACTGACGAATCCTAAAGAGGACGAAACGCACATCCTATATTCTCCTATTAGTCATTATCCATCTTGGTTTATGAAAACAACAATTGTTTTGATTCCTTAATGATTAACTCGTAT